TAGCGCGGAAAACATATATCGATGCAATAAAAACACCTAGATCATCCCACCTTTTAGCTATTTTCATAACCAAATGCACTAGAATTTAGCGCAGGAAACCCGCAGTCGTGGTGCAGTGTTCTAGTTTAAAATATTTGCCATAATAAAAAACAATGCACCGATGCATGCATAAAAGGAGGATAAATCGAACATTGTTGTGTNTGTAAATCAAGTAAGTAAGACCATGACGACTAGCTTTGATTGCCGGAAAACAAGTGAAAAACCAAGGCAGTTATTCTCAATCACGCTTTGAATCACTTGGCGATCGAGGTATCCAGGTATGGTATGTGCTATTCACCTTCAAAGTGCAAAGTGCTTGTTTAAGACTGGCAGGAACCTGTGCCTGCACTCACTCTCTGTGATGATCAGCTGGAAGTATTTGAGAGCTTTAAGTACCTCTGGAACTTGATCGCAGCCGGTGGCGGTGTTGGGGAGGAGATCAATTCACGAATAGCGCAAGCTAGAGCAGCTTCCGCCAACCTACGACACCTGTGGTGCAGCCATGACATTCGACTATCCCTTAGGGGATGGTGTACATCGCCGTAGTTCGTTGCGTTTTGCTTTACGGTTGCGAGACCTGGCCTCGCCACGCTGAGGATAATAATCGACTTTCTGTATTCGACCACCGATGTGTCTCGTGGGAACATCGGTTGAGCAATGACGAGGTCCGTAGTCGTGTGTTGCGTGTGGATAGTCGTCCTCTGACAGAAATAATCACTCTACACCGCCACCGATGGATTGGTCATGTATTGAGTATGCCTATCCATCAACTACCTTTCCGTGCTCTCTTTGCACGTGCTTAGCAGGGCTGGAAGAAGCCCCGAGGTGGACATACCATGGCATGGCGTAGAGGTATGAAGAATTTAGCTTCAGCACTGGCTTTGATTGGTGCAGTTCACCTTCCAGGTTGGGTCCCAACGGATGGGGATTGTCGTTGGTTAGAGACACTGAGAGATATGGTCCAGAATATAAGTCAGTGACGCGAATGCTGTACGGTCTGTCTGTTGAAATCCCGTGCCTCATAAAAATAACAAACAACGACAAAAAAAAACATTGAAAAATGTACGGTAAAACACACAAAAATTGTTATCCTATTTATTCTTAATTTTCCATTTCAACAGTTCTGTCATTTTTCCCTATACACTGTATCCCAACCCCCTCCAGTTATTGTTATTGTTATTATTGCTTGTCCGAAAGCCGGTGTTAAATATATAGATATATATACTCAATGGAAAAAATATTGAATGAAGAAAAAACAAATAATCAATTTGAAATAGCTCACCTGCAAGCGTGTATATACGAGTTCGCTCGTAGACTCTCGAGGTAGCCAAACTTCGATCCGACCCAGGCGAGTCTCGAGATATGCGAACTTCGAGGATGGGGTTTAAAGGGGCCGGGGAATGGTAGCTGACGGGAGGAACCTGTCCAACGTACATTCCATCGGCCGTGTTGTGTACACCGAATATCAAGCTAGATGGGGATAACTAATGGAATTTCGATACCCCGGCAGTTTGTGCTCAACAAATGCACTATTCAAATTGCGCAACCTCAGGGTAAGTGAATCATGGAGGAGAACATTTGAAATCCATGGAACAGGACGGTGAGTTATGAGGCTGCAATACAATAGGAAGATGATAAGGTTTATTCACATTTCTCTGAAACAGTCGGTCATATATATGTCACCAGCTTGTTAATATGCACAGTGTCTAAACAACAAAGGAAAGATCTAGGCATATGAAGTTATACATCATACTTTTATGGGCTTCAATTGTGCCAAGAAAATCATATTGCGTGAATCGTTATCTATGGTTTGTTTAAAGACATACTATCATCACGTTGTCCCACCCAAAGCATATGAGGCTCATGGAGGTTAACAACCTTCGGTTAGTCAAAGCAAGATCCACCGATATCCCATCAACCACATTAGGCGAGCGTCAAAAAGGATTCGCATGTCCATAATCTCCACTGTTTCTTATCACGCAACAGAGCCCATTGCCATCACAACCAGGATGTCTTGGAGTCATTTCGTACAACTGTTCTTGAGAGCTTCGGTATCAGGGGTTTCTAGCTGCTATAAATGAGCTACCTGTCTGTGATTCATAAAACAGACCACGGCTCTGGATATTAGATCCCTCCACTTACGGGAACTACTCCCTCCAAGAAGAGGCAGCGAGAAGGACATTCTCAGTACATGAAAAACTTTCCACGAGGACTTTTCTCGAAGTAATAACGAGGGCTCACCTTTCCATGTGAATATAGGGTATTTGTTTGAAAGCGACACAAATTATTAACAAAAAACAAAACCAATTTAATTCACGTATGTCTTCTGACACGATCAGCGTGCAGATAGTTGATTTTGTTCGGTTTATTGGTTTCCTCAGTTAAGTAACTTGTGAAAAGTAAAGTAAATTTTACCGGAACGAGTGATTTGAGAGAAAACGACCTGTGTTAAATGAGTTATTAGGAAGATGGCTAGACTCAGAATAATGGGTGTTATAGTACCTGTTTATATAGCCACATGTTCCGTATATCAACGAACCTAATTTTAAACAAATAACTGAGTTTCTTATCAGTGGTTGCCCATTGACAGTATTCCATTGGATTATTTACTGATAAGTTAAAACAAAGAAAATATTAATAGTACTTCGGGGTATACCTATGTATAAACAAAACCCGTTATCGTAATTTGTGTTCTTTATGCTATGCTTATTGATCTGTATTCAATCTCTTCCTCTGTAAAGCCGTCAGCTCATCTCTCGGCGTGTACCACAGGGTTTTTTCATGAGTGACTAAAAGAAACCCAGAGCTTAAACGAGCCGCTACTGATTAGGGTGCACTTATTGTTTCAATACTGATCAAACCAAAGAGGAGGGCTTAGTATCCCACGATTAAAACTAGAGCCAAGATTGAAATGGATCCTGAAAAGCAATTCAAGGGGTTCCAAAGGCAGATCCATTTGTTAGGTAGAACTTCCGACAGAAGACTACTAGTTCTGAACCGGAAAAGTTATTCTCCCGGGAGACCAAAACTGTGCACAGGTTAGACAGCAGCAGAACGAAGGAGAATACCACAGGCAAGAAACCTGGAAACTTTGGTTATCGAACGGATCCACACGACTGAAACGTATACCTTGCCGTCTACAAACGAAAAGGGACTTTCTGCAAGACCATTTTTAGTGGATTTTGTTGGAGAAAATACCATAGGCCCACTGCTATCTCGATCCGTTTTAGTAAAGTACTAAAAGAAACGTACGTTTCTGTCAGAATGGCTCTAGGGAAGTCACAGGCTCCTGGAAACTGCTAAAGTAGCAAATAGATTAGGGGCTGTGAGTTGAACAAATAGGGACTTGGTAAACCGTCGTACAGTATGTTTACCGATAGCGCACCCAAAGCGATAGTATCGTCTAAAATTTTAGTCATTTAAAACGTCCCAGAAGGAGAAAACTGATGATCGTGTTTTTTGAAGATGGAGAAGGAACGGCCTATTTGTAGGTATAGCAACTCCCTCAAGCGACCGCGGAGAATAGTGAAACGTAGCGGTTTATCAAGAGTTTTAGAACCCTTTGTCTACAACCACTGTATAAAATACTTGGTTTCCACTCCGGTGCTGAGCCTATATGACTGAAAATCACAAAAGCTTACGTATCTGCCATCAGTGAAATCTGGCTCTTTAAAGAGGATCACGTACCATAAATAGTTATAAACGCCTCATGATCCAACGGTAGAATAAAAAGCACGAATCTTCAAGAAGAAGGATGAACACTTTTCTTAAAGGAGGCGAACATTGACTCCGAGATCACGTTCTGTCAGATTGTGTACGCTACCGAGCAGAGGAGTCAATGCAGCCTGCGTACAGATCTCCAAGTAAATACCCTGAAGAAGATGACAAACTGCTGTGAGGATTACTGTGGCTGTTTTTGGAAACAGATGAAGTCTTCATTATAGGTTGTTTTAATCAACCGCACATTGACCGGGGGTAATGAGTGTGCTCCCAGGGATCTCCATAGCAGAGCTACCTTGAATGGTTTCGTGTGAATACACTTTGCCATCACGTTGGAAAGAATACCAGATAGATGTTTCCAACTGTACTATTCTTATTAGATCTCTTGATCGCTCCTCAAAAAAGTAATATATTAGGGTTCTGTTCCTACCCGCTCTTAGGTAAAAGCAAATAAGTTCGAATGGAGATTAACCTGTGCATGCAGTAATCCAGGGTACCAGCAGAAGAGGTCAAAACACTTGGCAGCACTGATCAAGCTAATCTTCAAACTAGAACATCAAATACTTAATGGGGTTATTACAAAAAAAGCGTAAGGCCTAGTGAACAGTTTCTTAGCATACATACTCTGCTCTTTGTAGACAGAGGAGATCTAACGTCAAGTTATCGTTGTGAAGAGAAGCAGAAGACAGAATCATTGGGCAACAAAATCGATACTGGAGAACCATTAGAGCTTTGGATAACCATTAGGATTGGANCAAATGAGACAATAAACCTTCTGTAAGACAATAAGTGGAACTCAAAGGTGACACTGGACCAACGTCTCAAGGAT